CATATGTGATTGTTTTACAATTACGCTGACTTTTTTCTCTCCACCGTTGGACTGATTTGTACATTATTCAGTAAAGGAATGCCGGTAATTTCAAAAAAAAAAAACGTTACTACTATGTACCTAAATGTTGGCTGCAACTGTTCAGCGATAATTACGCTGCATTTCTCAAACGTTGTTTCTAACTGTTTTTCATTTGTTCAAAATAATTTTTTTTTTTTTTTGACTTTCATAAAGCTTTGGTTTCTGAGCAAATTTTCTTGCCCAAAAAGAGACATTAATAAAAACATTCTATTTTTAATATATTCTATAAGACAGTATTTTAGTGCTGGTAAAGTACCTTTTCATCGTCCTTTTTGTTGCCAACAAGCATAATCGGTATATCTTGCAACGCTTCACCCCTAACTTCTTTAAACATTAATAAGATGGGTCCAAGTTCTTCAAGGCTTTGCCGACTAAAAATTCTTTACTGCACCCAAATATATTACTTATTGCTTATTGTTATATGGTTTTGCAAAAAAATTTTTTTGAAAAAAATTGCTAAAAGAAAAGAGCTGATCTTTGTCAACCCTAATGTTTATTCATTTGAATACAAACTAATAAGTTTTTATAAATTTTCATTAAGTTTTTTTTTTATTGCAAATACCACATTTGACAAATGAATAGTGGGGGGAGGAAAAGAAGGAAAAAAAAAATTCTTTTTTATTCAATTTTTATAATTTCAATGTAGAAAAAAACTATAAGATTTGTTCTTTTTTTGCTAAAAATTTTAGTGTTTTTATATGTAAAATATATTTTACCTGGTAACTGAATATACTAAAATCAAAGCATTTCCTTTGGCTACTGAAAGTCGTTGCATAGCTGGGAACTGATGGCTTCCTGTTGTGTCGGTTATTTCCAATGTACAAACATTTTTTTGGTTACAGCTGATCACCTAAAAAAAGAAACAGAGGTTTTAGTACATCTGTTATATATATATATATATATATATATATATATATAT